AGGGAGAGGGAGAGGGAGAGGGAGCGCGGGCCTTCGGACCTGTACCTTGAGCGAGCAAGCAAGCGAGAGATAGAGAAAGATGGTCTCATGGGGTGGCCTGACCAGCTTCCTGTCGCAAGAAGAAGCGAATCCGGGAAGCACGATGCAATACTACAGCAGGAGTTACCGTGATCTATCGTGTAGGCTCTCACGTGCAGTTGGATCCTTTTGTGTGTCACACCGACTCAGACACGGCTGCCCTCTGTGCAGCGACAGGGATAATATCTGCTTTCAAGCACGGCAGTAAAAGGAGCATGTTCTGCGTAGCTTATACCAGCCCTCGCATTTTCTTCAACAGCCGTTCAAGCTGTGTAGTTGAAAAGGGGAATCAGCTGCAGGCATGGGGCTGCCCACGAGTGGGTCGCAGATGGAGAGATCTTGGAGGCCAGCCTTGACAGCCCCTGCATCCAAAAGGGTCAAACGCTCGGTTTCAGGCGGACAAGCCTGTCCTGGTGTCAGCTTTGAGTTCTATCCCCTACTGCCAGGTGCAGTAGGGACAGTTCGTGTGTGTTTCAATGCGCCACTGGTCATTACTGGTCTTCTTACATGGAGCATAGCAGGTTGAGAGATATTGTGGCCTTGTCACTGTCCACATGATCAAAGAGTGCCTGGCCTTACCTGCTTACGGGTGACTACTTCATGCCTACATGTCCGAACTGGAGAAGGCGACATTGAGCCCTGCACCAGGACCGTGAATGTGACGCGCCAGTTCGAGTCACTACAGGCGCCGTCTGGACTTGGGCCGTTCTGAGCTCATATCTCGTGCACCCGCTTGTGACACCGCAGGTGTTTTACCACCAATTTGTTGCAGAAGCGCTTCTGACAGCAAAAGCTCACGTTTTGGCGGTGGGCTTGTAGCTCAGATTCACAGTGTGACAACAGGTAGGTCGAGTCCTGCTGCTCTGCCTGCACGTGCACGTGCACTGAGGCGGTGATGCTTTGCTTGGCTATCGCATCAATAACCTTTTCCTTCGTGAGGTCAGCTCAGGGCATGTCAGGGCACTCTTCAGGAAGGGAGGCATTGCATCTGGCTGTGTCCCAGAAACCACCGTCCCTTCCGCTTCTTGCTTTGATGTCTGGGCCATCCTACACTTGAATGATTACTCGGTGTGGGGCTGTGCCAACCAGGACAAACGCCGGGCGTACGCTGTGATTTCGATCTCGGGGGATGCAGCAAAGCTTTGGATGGAGTGAACGCTCCAACACACAAGAGCAGTTCCGGTGGCAAAACGGAGCAACCGAATTCAACACAGCTGACTTGAGGGTCTGCACAGAAGTTGTAGAAAGGCTTGTCGGATTCCCTGCATGTGTTTGTGGCCAAAGACTGCCCGAGCCCGTCTCACTCCGATGGATGCTGCATGTGATGCACGCAAAAAGACGCCGCCACAAATGCCACAGCCTGCTTCTTAGTAGCCCCACGGTGTCTAATCCATTCCTGCCGTGAGCCGAACCTCACTGCCTGCAGCACAACACTGAGCCAAGCGGCAACCAAGTTGCTGTGAATGACTCTGGCCTTCCGAGGTTTCAGCTCGGGTTCGGGAGTTGAAGCGCATAGACGAAGAGAACCAACGCCTCCTCAAAAGGCTTCAGGGTGCTCTGCTCGAGTTCAACAGCTTGCAGATTCCTGCAGTGCGAAGTTGCGGAAAGGCGGCTTATCGCTCAGGTACGAAAGCAGCCGTGAACATGTCAAAGTTTGATCAGGAGCACAAGGCCACGGTTCACCAGACCAGGGCACTTGTTCATGTTTGCTTGAGGCCTTTAAAGAGACTTAGGCACAATCGGCGACAATAGCTGCTGGTGATCATGGCAGTTTTGCAGGTCCAGCAGCGCTACATGAAAATGCGCTGTGAGCATCAAAAGGCCACCAGTGGTGCGAGTGAAGTTGACTCACCTGGAATCCTTGTCTACTATAACTGTAGCTTGCCCTGTCCATGGCAAAACTGCAGGAAGACTGGCTGTTGGCGCTGCTGACATATCTTCATTGCTCGTTGGCTCTGGCCATCTCTAGGTGCAGGCTCTCTGTTGGTCTATGCCAGGAGCGGGCGCATGAGCAATCCATGCTCGCTGCGCACATGGCTGCAACGTGCCTGCAGTTTCGGTTCCCTCTGCAACTTATATATATATATATGTATATATATATATATATGTATGTATGTATATATATATATATGTGTATATCTATCTATATATTATATCTATCTATATATACATATATAGATACCACGCCACAGTCGGGGGACGTCCCTTGCCGGTAAGGTTCGCGCAGCATCCAAAGCAGTGGCCGGACCGGCTGCAGCCTCGGCTACCTGTAGGGCCGCTGGTTGCAAAGTTATTGCTTAAACGAATCGTTTAAACGCAGTTTCAGGTAGGTAGGCTTGACAAGCTAAACTCGGGCCCCAAACTTTTCTCCAAGTATAACCTGCGGTCATGCTGTTCACGAGTTCTAGGCTGGCTAGTGAGCTGATGGGCGCGAGCTAGATGTGAGGGCCCTTGTTCTGCCAGACGGGATGACCGCAGTGGGTAAGTTTTCGTTCTACGTTCTGCGGGCGACGGGAGCCGTGAGCAGGGAGTGGGGTCTTACTATGAGTGCACAGGCAGGATCGGGTCGATGATCTTGAGATTTTCAATCTCGTGTAGCCTCTGTCTTGTACGAGTTTGTGACAGTCTAAACCTGCTGCCCAATTCAGATCACATTCCCCTTCCTTGGCCCGTGTGAGTGATGTGTTGCTCCGGTGGTAGCTAGGCCGACAAAACTAGAGACGACCTGCGTTCTGCAGAAACGAACACCTTCGCTTTCTCTACTACTGTGCACCATAGGCGCCATTCATGGCTGCATGAGCGGAGGTTTCAAAGGAGCCTCCTGGCCCCACAGATGCTGAGTGTGCTCACCTCAGCATCTCACACTTCCGTTATTCATGGTTACGCAGCTGCAGAAGTCAGGGGACGGGCTGCGAACACACGGCTAAGAGACAGGTATCCGCCTCCTGCACTTGCAGGCGCGTGAGTCCCCCGCACGCTTGGTCACGGATTGATTGGAAGAAGCGGTAGTAGCCGTGAAAGAGCGATCTCTCACGATTGGAGCCATCTCGGCTCGGTGTGCTCCCAGAGCACGACAGCCCGGCCATGGGCCATCCCCGGGGTAGGCAGGTTTGTCTCAGTTGCTCACTGCGTCCTCCGGACTTTGTTGCGCCCGCAGGGGCCGAAGGCAGGCCGAGACCCAAAAAGCGCCAGAGCCGCAGCCAAAGGAGCCGAAGGCCAAGGCGGCCAAGAGAAAGCACCGGGTGCTTTGGTGGCAGCCAGAACTCCTGGGCTCCTGCGTCCTTCGGTCTGCTTACCGCGACGGCCTCGTGCAGGATGCAGGTCGGGCCGAATCATCGCAGCGATCTCGACGAGGCAGATCGGAGTTGGTGCGTCGGCGAGTTTGAAGAGGCTTGTCAAGCTAGCAAAGGAACGAGGCTTAAGGCGTCGTGGGCTAGGGGCCCGCGACTTGAGGGCTCCCCACGGCTACCCCCCATAGAGCAGTTTTGGCACAGAGGCTCGAGCAAGATGAGATGCACTGAGGCGCGAAGCGCAAAGCTGATCACCCACAGCCTCACGATGCGGGTAGCCTGGATGACAGTGAGGAGTGCTGACAGCTCGGTCTGCTTGACTGTATAGCCAAGCAGTTCTTGGAAGGGACTGCGATCGCATCTGGTTCATGGAGACCGGCACATGCCAGGAGATGTGGGACGATGTGGACGTGCAAGACGTAGATGACTCGGAGCACGAGGATTCTTCGGACCAGGAGGCAACTACTTGTGAACCAGTGGCTCCACATCCTAAGACGTGGACATGTGTGCAGGCTGGCTTCCATGGACGCCGTGATGCAGGCAGCAAGTTCCAGCAGCATGATCGGACTGCCTTCCAACATTGACAGGCGGCAACGGAGCATCCGAGTCCGATCGGGTGTACCGGCAGCTTCTACGACAAGGAGCTGAGCCGGCAGTCATCGGCCAGAAACGCAAAGCACTTTGGCAGTCTGGGGACAATTCTGCTGAACCTTTTGCAAGCCTTGTCTGCCGTGCTTGGGAAACAAAGGCCACGAGCAAGGAAGACGAAGTTGAGATGGAGCTGTTTACGCCTGATGCAGCCAAGAAGGCACGACTCATTCCTGACGAGGCCAGGGAAATTCAGCCGGGCTGGCACTCATCGCGACGGATGCACCGTGCTTCTTTCGGCAGGGTCGCCGTCCCATGAGGATGGGAATGGGCGGAATGGGAGTTCCATCTTTCGGCATCCTGCCGGCAGGAATTTGCTCTCTTTGTGTCTGGCTCCTGGCTTCAGCCCGAGGCTCGTTCTTCTTCTGACCTCATCAGCTCCTGCAGATCACCGAACTGGTTCCGGCGGCAGACTACCTCACCTGACCTTCGCTGGGCACACGTGTGTCGGAAGTCTTGTCTGCTAGAGCTGTACAGAGCTCACTCAAATCGCAAGAGACATCCAGCGGCAGATGTAGATAGGGCAGCTCCTTGCGAACAGTTCCCCGTTCTTCGGCGATGCAGTTTCGCACGACAGGCCAACCATGGAGTTCCGTCCATCTGCAAGCAGATGTTTCTTGCGTGCCAGTGTTTCACAACAGACGATGCCTCGATGCCGCACAACTCTCGGCTGTGCAAATTCCGGCTGTCAGTAGGGAGGTTGACATCTGTCTGAGCAGCTGGTCTGTTTACGTCAGAGACCAAGAAGATCCAAGAAGTGAGGGCGTCACACGGAGGAAAAGCTCTGCTTGCCTTGCGGCGGGTCGGCTAGTCCAGCACGCCAGATCGCGACCGAAGCAGATAGAAATCGCAATGGCGATTGCAGGATCGGTTCCGATCCAGGGCAGAAGCCGACGAGGACCGCCGAAAAAAAATTCTTCCCAAGATCCTTGCAGCTGCGCCGGTCCAGGACCTGAGCCCAATGGACTTAGAGGAGGTCGCGGCCTCAGACGTTCGCCCTAAGTTGGGGCTGCTAAGTACGTCGGAGTAGCACCATGGCTCGTGCTGAGGCACGCAAGGAACTTCCAGGCAGCGCCAGTCCAGCAAGCGACCGGGCTGATGCCTCAGCCGACCATCTTGGGAACGCTTTCTTAAAATAAGCGTAGTCTCAGGCTGCTGAAGAAGGCCGGTGCCTCGGGGAAAGAGGCACGCTTGGCTCTTGCAGCGCAGCTGTTGAAGGCAACTGCGAAAGCCAAGCTCCTCGTCAGAAGCCCCGGCTCATAGCCGCAGCCTGAACCTGCCTCTGCTGACTTGATCCTTCTTGGTTGCTCCGGCGACCGAGGGCCAGTATGCTGGCCACCTGCCTGACAGCTCCCACAATTTAGTCGAGCAGCTAATGGCAGCTTGACAGCAGCAGCCGTTCATGAAAGACAGAGTGATGGTAAGTCGCATGCGTGCCCGAGCTTGCGAGGGGCATCCAGGGATTGACTCTGATTGTCTGGTAATGTGCGACAAATTGCACACGTTGCCACAGCGAGGTCTTCTCCACATAGACTCATCCCCTGAGAAATTGTTCAAAAGGTGCGATCCACCATGTTCTGAAACGACGCCCTTTCGGGCGGCCAACGATCTTCGACATCCTTGGACCGGTTGCCGCACACTGCGTGACTACGTGATGCAGAAGCCCTTGGCCACCCCTGGGCCCTAACTGCCCTGCGGCGCCGCGTGCAGAACGAGGGAAAACAAATTTTGAAGTATGCCTCAACAGGCAGGAAAACTGACTGCAGAGAAGTTGGAAAGCATTGCAGTCACCCGGGTTCTCCGAAGGCAGCATGTTGCTGAGCCAACGTGTTGTGGAACAGCAACCGTGCTATGGGGTCCAGGATGGTCCAGGCAAGATCAGCACAGCACGACGTGTCACACAGAGACGAGGTACCGCGGCGCAGATTGCCCGAGCGGGGCGTGTGCGCTGCTCTTTGACTGCGCGGAAGAGTGACGACACCCAGACACGTCGGGTCCCATACCCCTGGCACGCAACGTCTCCCACACCCGACGGGATAGGGAGAGACTCGGGAGAGAGTTGCAAGCAAGCGAGCAAGAGCAAGAGAGAGAGCGAATGAATGTGCGAGTGGCAGTGGATCCAATGCGTGCTGTTGCAGTGCTTGTGTGCAGGCACAGTATGCCCAGCTCCAGGAGCAGGCAGCCGAGAAGGGGGAATCGGCCCCACCTCACATCCCGAACACGTCCTGTCAGACTCTGCAAGACGTGCCTAGCCGCTGATTCGGATGATTCGGACGTGTCGCGGCTACTTGGGGGCCGAGTTGTCATCTTGTTTGGTGACAGTCTGACCTGCAGCATCCATCACACTGTAGGTCAACCCAGTCACCCCATAGCCAAGTATTAAACCGTGCACCAAGACACCATGTTGCTGCCGTGAGGAGGAGGAGGACACGGAGGCTGCTGCCGAAGAGGCCAAAGCCGCAGCGGCTGCGGCGTTCCGAAAGGCACCGAACATATCGGTCGGGGAATGGTTGTCCGCGGACCCGCAAGAACAGCATGTGACATACTGCTCGGTTGACGAACTTCACAAGCCTATCAGCACGGCGGTGTCCTATCGTACGACTAACGGATCCCCAGCATTCACCAGCGCAAGATATCCTGCTTAGCCGCGGTGTCCATGGCCAGGCGGAGGCTTTGGACGTGGCCAGCGACGCCGCAGCCCTATCTCGTCCTGGTGAAAATGGGAAGCAGCCCACGCGGATCCTCAGGATGCGATGCTGAACTACGAGAAGGCCCCTTGGAGCCGCATGGAGCAACTTTTCGTGGCGGTGCAAACATGCCGAGGTTGTCAGGAGCAGGCTCAACAGGGAAGCTGCCTTGTTCCCAGTATCCTTCATACTGCAGGATATGCAGGCCACCTCGTTTGTGCAGTTAGGACGTGTCGGTGGTATACAGTGCACACTGCGCAATATCCTGGCGCGCTAACCGAGGCATCTTTGGTCTGTGTGGAAGATCTAGACTCCTTTGTGGATCCTGCTCCATAGTGCATGTGTTTCACAACGAATGCAAAAGAATCCATGCCCCATGCCATCTGTACAGTGGAGCTTAGCTCTGAGCATGTGGAATGAACATTGCAAGTGCTAGTTGCTTTGAGCTCGTTGAGGGCATCTACAAGCATCTCATCTTAAGTGCAGCAGGTGATTACTGCCTTTGTGCATGCTGCACTTGTGCATTTTTCATTTTAGGAGTCGACGTGCCAATGTGCTGAAAAGAGACTGTCCGTGTCATAGTCCAGTGTGGAGCGGCATGTCAGCATGGGTGTTTCCATTCTAATTACGCCAAGCGCCCCTTGCTACAGGCATATGTCGAAACGGATGTTGCCGCAGACATTCAGGTGTTGCCATAGAGATGCCAAACCCCTTGGTTTACATCGATGAAGCCTTGCTCCCCGGCTCTCGCCAGACGGCGAGCAGGGGCCCTCAGAAGCTGTCGTTTCTCCAGGCTGACTTTTGTCATGGGGTTCATCAAGGAGTTCAGACAATTAAGACAGCTCAGGCTCAGTGAAGGCGTGGCAGCTGAAGGGCGTGGACTTGAAGTGCCAGACGAAGCCTGCGAGCACTTGGCATGCGTATCGCGCATGTTGACTTTACTTTGAGCTGCCCTCCTGCATTTGCTTTCATGGCTGCCGAGGATCTCTGGTGCGCACCTACAAGGCATTCGGACCTGCACCAGGGCGAGTTGGTAAGCTCGTGCACATTCACATATTTTCTTGCTGCTGTGAAGGAGATGCGCGATGATGTGTTGAATGCATGTGCGATCGTGTAAAACCAGAACGCTCCTGTGGTCTTTTGTTGCTGCAGCCAAAGACCAAGCAACGCAAGAGAGGCGTCCTTGAGGTGCTGCAAGGCCTCACAGGGCCACGAAGCGATTGGCGCTCCGAGACTTCGCGAAACGGCAGCGCCTCCATGCCTCCATGTGCACTGCAGAAATGGACCATCCTCTGAGTCTTCCAGGAAGAACTGTTCGCATCCGAGAGGCGATCGCCGCTTCAGCTTTCGTGCGATCGCTGCATGCACCGCGACGCTGATTTCTTGCTGTGTGGAAGAGGGAGCCGCAGCCCGGCAGAGCCCAGAGCCGCAGCCTGGATGAGAAGATCTTGCCGAAAAAGCGACGAAAACCACCGCATTCCCAACAGCACTCGCATGACTCGGCAACACGTCGTTTTGAACTTGAGCCTCGAGTCCGGGCTCGCAGTGGCTTGCACAGGTGCCTACTTCACAGCTTCACGTGGCTCTCGACTGAGGACAGATCCAAAACCAGAGATCCCTTGTTTCCCGTGGCCCCGATGCACCGCTGGACCACGCAGGACGGTGGCTGCAGTGAAGCGGCAGGGTTTGGAGTGGACGTTTGCACAGTCGCTGCCACAGAGTCTTGGCTGTGGATAGCCATGTGGAAGCACGACTTACATCAGAGCTTCGTGAACTCAGGCTCCTCGCCCCTCCCACGGAGACGGCGGATGACCCACAGGGCGCCGAAGAGGAAGAGGGGGAGGAGCCCCAGGCCGTTTGCTGGGTTATTGGAGGACCTACGTCTACAAAGACTAAGATGTGCAGCCGTTGCCGTTTCCGTGATGGGGTTCTGGATCCTCGCAGGTCGACCGACTGCAATCGGTGCTGCCCAAGGCGCAGGGTTGGCGCCATGAGTGGAAAGCACATGCAGTTCTTGTCAGAACCGTTGTTCGGATGGGTGTGGCAACTGCTCTGCACTATTGCAAGCCATCTGGATCTTCTCTTCGGTCGCCTTGTTGTCTGCATCCACCGAGCAAGTTTCGACTATGCCTTTATTGGTCACATCCGGCAGGTCCATCGGCGCCGCGATCGCAAGCTCGCTTCTCGCATGCATGTTCACGTTGTCACCTCCGAGTACTGGGTGATGGGTTCGAGAAGAATTTGGTGAGGCTAATCATTCAGGTCACGGGTTGGGTCGGACTTTTTTCTGGCTTCCATTCTGGGCGGTCGCCGTGCTGTGTCTCTGCGTTTGGTCAGCATTCCACACTTCTTGAAAGGCCACCATGCCAGCACGCTTGGGGCCGAAGGACGAGCGCCATAGCTGCAAAGTTCATGCTCCTCAGGGTGCATGCAGCAGTAGACTTTCAGGCGGCGATCCAGCATAGACGTGCAAAGCTGCCGTGCCTAGGCTGTCCAGCGCACGGTTCAGTGACGGCGAGGGCAAGGCGCGAATGCACGCCGCGGAGCTCGACAGCGAGCTTTCAAGCCCTGTCTCTTCACAGGAGAAAGCCACGGAGACTCTTGCAGAGCTGCGGGAGTCGGTCCTGAAGCCAGTGTCTCGGAGCCAGCCAGCGCAGCTCTGCGCAGGGCTTTGTGCCACGACGATTCGAAGCTCGAGTCCTAGATCAGCCAGGCTGCCACTACCGAGACCAATAACGCTCAATGCTTTGGGGGAGCCAGATTTGCCAGTCGCAGGGCTGCAAAGAGCAAGAGAAGGGGCTTTTGCTAGCTTGGTGCTCGTATATTGGCATGGAGAAGCGGAGAAGTCGAGGTTGTTATGCGGAAGAAGAAGAAGACTGCCACTCTGCAGCACCCTAGAACCGATGTGTTGTTGTTGCCTTCCGGGGTCGATGGGTCACCGCAGAGGGCGATGCAGAGACTTGCGTATCTTGCGTGTTGACAATCCTCGCCTCGCTGTGGGACGGCTGCCCTGAGGCCACGATGCCGGATGTAAAGGTTCCGCCGTTGGTGTCACGGCCTGGCAGCAAAGTGAGCGTCATCGGCTGACTTTTTCCATTAAGAGATGCACGAGAATCCGCACGATGCGCTTTTCCTACTTGTACCGGTCCGGTAGGTAGACCGTGAGTGTCTGAAACGAAGGCGCTTTTCCGTCTTCTCAGTCCAGCCGGAAAGAAGCTTCGAAGAAGCTTCAAGTTCTGTTTATGATGCAAGGGTTGGCTTGGGAAGGCCAATGAAATTCGGGGAACATGATAGCATGCGCGCCGCATGTCGCCAATGGTGCCGGACGCAGTGATTCGGATCCAGGGACCGCTGAAGGCGGTTTCTGTGACAGCGGAAGGCATCTTTACAAACGGCTTGTTTTGCGCCAGGATCACGGACTGCAGCGGAAGGCAAAGCTCCGGTTTGCTAGCGATTCTTTGAAGCAGTGAGAGGTTGGCTCAACGATGCTCAGCACGCCCAGCCGTCACTGCAGATCCCGGCAATGGCAGCTGCATTCCCGTCAGAGCTTGCGGGGGTTCCGGCCGCCATGGTCATGCGTGACATGGTAGCGCGGGGTCAGATGCCTGACTCTCATCGCTGCCTTCGGCTGGTGTCGAAGCTAGGGACGGGCCTCGCGGCGGTAACAGCCGACGGCATCGCTGAGGCTGCCGCCCGAATGTTTTCCGCACTTGGGTGGATGGAAAGTCTATGTCGGGCCTGGCCGGACATGGAGGTTGGCCGCACCTGCTGTTCGATGGTCTCCATCTTCCATCGCCGTGGCTTCACGGACCTAGCACTTCGGGCAGTCGCCTGGCTGCGTCAAAGGCACTACGAGATACCGATCTGCACGCTTGCCTTGGCGATTGATGTCTGCCTTCAAGACGAACGTCTGCCGGAGGCGAAGGAACTCTTCAAGGAGGCTCAGGTGTTGCTCACACAGATCCTAACAGCACCAAACGAGATCACGTGTGGGCCACGTGGGTACTATGTCGAGTCGGGTCAATGCCACGTGGCCGAAGTTGAGAAGAGGCAAGCCGATGACGACGAGGAGGATGAAACCGGCATCAGTGGCTCCAACAGTGGAGCCAACGACTCCCCATCACTCTCAGCCAAGGAAAGTCCCGCAGATTTTCCGACGGACAAGACCACTCTGTGTACAGACGGGCTGCCCAGTTGGCTCAGTTCCCGGGAAGGTCACCTCATGGCACTCATCGCGGGCCATGTCGCTGTCCTGAATCGCCTCGCACCAGTGGAACCCAGCCACTGGCAGGACGAGTAGCTCGAAGCGGATAGTCACGGACAGCCGACTCGACATCAGGGAGCTGAGCTCGCTAATTATTTCTTGTAAATCTGGAGCCCTTCCGGTAGC